ACAACGCTTAATGTTCCTAACCGCTTAATATAATAGATGATCTTTTCTCGGCATTGGTTTTCAATGTTAAATTTGTGATTGCATTTCTACATTTTAGATTTAGTCATTCGAATTTGTTAGTATGCATGTAATCTCGAAGTATGCACTGACGAAATTTCCAAAATGCTGCCACGATAATTAATGCTCATAATTTTTATGGCATTGAATTTTATTTTTAGCTCAATCTCATCAATTTTATGTCAAGATTTTTCCGCTTGCTTTTATTAACGATATTAAATGTGGTGAAGCCTTATAAAATTAAGAATTTTCTGTGAAGACCTAATTCTTTTTACGTTCTTTTATTCATTAGTGCAGCTTTCAATCACTTTCTTATCACAGAATCTATGCTTAAACTTGGATTTTTCAAAATGACACAATTGCCCATTTAATCGTTCTCCATCTTTGATAGTATCAGGTGTTGTGTAAAATTTATGTCGCACTGTTGTTGTAACCTTGAATACTGGACGATTCAGTATTCATTTCAACAAATAAAAATGTTCGAAATGTATAAATGTTAATAAATTATGTTATATCCAAATTGCTGAAATTTTACTTGATTTTTGTGCATTCTGGCGATCACAGCAGGCATTATTGAAGTCAGGAATGCTTTGAGCCGCTGGCTGCGTAATTCCCCATGAGTGTATGGCAAGATTTTACCATGAGCTGTACTTACGCACAGTATTATTGAGCAATATTTCTGCTGTCGCTTCCCACTCTTAAGTCTTCACTAAGCCTTATCATCGCCCTTATGTTAGTATGAAAGTTATATCGCTCGTGCACAATGAATGATTTTAGACAGAGGCCTAAGACAACATGGAATGTCTGCGAACAGAACGTCGCGATGTCTCTCTCTGTGAGCTGGATTTTGCTTTAAAGATTTTTTCACGAAAAGATTCATCATTTTCATTCAAAAAGGATTCATCCTTTTTGTGATTCCTGCGGCGAAGATCGTGTTCGTTCCTTCCTTCCCCTCCTTCTGTCCCAATCAGCTCTACAAACAAAGGGGCTCGACAGAGCCTTTCTCTAATTCTTTATCGACTTTGGTGTTTTCATTTGATGGCTCAGAAAGAAACCGAAAAAAGGAATGAGGATTTCATTGAAAATTATTCATGTTCGTTGCAAATATAGTCTCTTGTTTACTCTCTACTAGAAATCTAGAATGGAGGTAAAATAGCACTATAAATGGATAAGCACAACAGATTCGCAGCATCCATGCGAAATACTAATTTCGTTTACATATCTATTGCGGGGAAAATATTTCATATCCTCACTAACAAATTCTCTCACAAAAATTTGAGTTTTCGCACTGTAGCCTTCACAAAACTTTACCGTATCGTGAACAAAACTTTACCGTATCGTGAACATTAAGTTGTAAGTGAGCATAATGATGAAGAGACGTTTATGCGCAGGCTTTTACACGCGTTATCGCGTTCACGGTCGGCTGGCGTCGCTAACTCACTGTTGGTCGTGGCCGTAGTCCGCCGTATCGGTCCTCGCGCTTCACTGGTTTCCCATCATTTTTTCATGGCAAAATTCGATGCTCTTGCCGTCCTCCGACACCAAATTCTGCTTTGATGCTCAACAAACACCGCTTCGCGAGAGACCGTGTCAGGAGTAAATTCTGCGTGGTCTGAAACACCGAAAAAAGTCGCGTTGATTTTTCACTTTTTATTAAAAAACTTGTTTACCAATCCATATCACTAGGTTTGCGTTCTTAATTTCTCAAGGTTTTGGGCTCATTTTTTTTCAATTGAGAAAAAGGTTTACGAATCATAACTAACGCCACTGATGCTATAATCCCATCCAGTTCCATTGTAACATCACAATTTAGATGAGCTCGCTTACAAGTTTGAGTAAACTCACAATTTAAAAAAAAACACCATTGATACACTACGTCTCTTGAGTATCATGTTACACGTCCTCGGCTTTACATTGGATGCTAAGTCTCGTACGATGCATTGCGTGGTTGGCGGAGTGATGTATGATGCACTGCTGTCACTTGGCTCACTTGGCTTCATGTGGTCTAAGTCAATTGGCCTTTTCACAAGCTATTGGTCCTTATCCTGCGTGCATAGCTTCTCAAGTCACCGCTAGCGTGCACTTCTTGCCTCGAACACAGTTTCTGCAAATGGCTTGCTTTTAATCACATGTCACAAGGAAATAATGATAAAACCCCAAACCAGGTTATACGTGAGCCATGAGCTATCAGACATATTCAGTCGTTCAACGACGTTTTTATCGTGGCGGAAACTGACCGAATATTACTGTGGAAAATATGTATTTTGTCATGAGGCTTCAGGGACCACTGCATTGTGAAACTGAAGCATAGTGTGGCTTCATTCACTTTCAGCTATCGATGAAAATCTTCAGGTCTAAATTCAATCCATTTTATGTCGTATATGGTAGCCAAAAATGTGATAATGAAGAAACACTATATTCACGTATAACAGCTTACCTCTTATGAAATTACTTCAATCAAATCTACTTTTGAGTTTTTATCTGCGGGCAAATCATGATGGCAGAAATAAATAATTTAGTTAGGTATTTGATAGGCGATTCATGCAATGATCATTGAATGATGTCAAAAGCTTGAAGCCCATTTCTCACGATCGTTCCACGACGCAGTAAATGTCTATTCATATCCTGCTCAGAATATATGTCTGAAGACGAGAAGAAGAAGCACTACCAAGACGTTTAGTGCTTTAGATTGTTAACTTCGTGGACTAACTGCAGGGTGATTTAGCCTAATGCACGATAATTGCTTACTGTCCAAGGCCCATACTTTCAAAAAAAGTTAAGAGATCGCAAGTACATCAGCCAATCATTGACGGCATTTCAAGCAAAATCCACCAATCATAGACAAGGAAATAGGGCGTAAGTACTTACGTTCACTTAGCGAATTTTGAAAGTATGGCCCCAAATCTTCCCATTAACAGATCTCACTTGATAATGGGCTCGATAATTCCATCGCGAGAATAAATTAATTAAGTAACATGAATTGATTATCAAGCTATTAGGCGCGTTTAAAGTTTCTGTTTCTCCCACAGTATTCATTCGTTCAGGATGTTCTCAGCGCTAGCTGAACTTTGTTATTCCTCAACCCGTACCACCTGAAATTTCTTAGCGCAGAATTAATGGTACGCGAACCACAGTCTTGTTCATGGTACTTTTCTTTCATTCGTGGTATCATGATACCATGAATGGTACTTTCATTCAATGATACCATTTCATGGTATCATTGTTTGGGAATTTTCCTAGTCCACTCTCTTTCCTCACTAGGTACTTTTCTTACTGCCTTCGAAGTGCAGACTCATGGTACCTCGTGTTCAAAATTAGACCTCGTTCTTCTGAATTATTAGCGCCCTGGGCCTATACTTTCAAAAAAAGTCAAGAGATCGTAAGTTCATCAGCCAATCATTGACGGCCTTTCAAGCAAAATCCACCAATCATAGACAAGAAAATAGAGCGAAAGTACTTACGTTCACTTAGCGAGTTTTGAAAGTATGGCCCCTGTTCCGAGTCTACGATAAAGTGGTGGAAAGTGTGTTCTGCGCCGGAATGTTTTCTGCTGTCGTAATATAGATGTTATTAGTTATCGGAATACTGTATTAATGTTTGTGTACGCCTTCAGTGTATAAGCAAAAGATCTTATTGTAAATCCGATATTTTGCTGGTGTTTTCTAACTTAGCGGCAATTATTCAGGGAACGCGGCATTTTTTCGAATTTCTGCACGACAAATAGCTACTCATTTATCTGTAGCCTTTCATGGCAATAAATAATCTGTCCCTACTCGTTAAAGTGACGACGAGTTGCAAGCTCCAGCGTATAGGCGTGTCCGTTTGAGGATGGCATGAATTTTTCAAAGGCTCTAGTCCGTGCCAACTTGGGGGCTAGGCGCGGGAAGTTTTGGTGTCTGAGCCCCAAGCTTCCCTCGTTAAGGCTTTAAAGGGGAAGTGCGGGTATACACACTGCACTGCTATATGCCACCTGTAGCTCCAGCTGCCATCGCTCAGCTGCGAGCGCAAGCAACGTCAAGTGCTTGCATCTCGGCAAATATGATACACAATGCTGTGTTGGAATATCATTTATTTTTTGCTTTTTCATCCGAGCAGAGGGCAAATTTATAATACTTCGGTTGAAGTAAAACGCTTTTCATCTTTAAATCGATGCCGTTGATAGCGTATAATTATTTTTTGCTATAACTCTCATAACTTCAGTTGCGCTGTTTGGTTTAGGCTCAAGCTCAAGTTGAGGAAGTGATGTTAGAATATCAGTGAAGTGAAGGGTACGCCGTAACAAGTATTTCGACGACACGACCGTATCAAAGACAATGTGCGCGTATTTTACCTCGGTTCCTTCTGTTATTTCCTTTTTTACGTAAGTGAGTTCGCGGCGCTAAATCCACTATCTATTCAATAGTATTAGAGGTGCTAAATCCGCTTCTCAATATTACCCCTCGGTTTCTTCTGTTATTTCCTTAATTTACTTAGTGAAATCGTTTCGCTATACCCACCATCAATTCAATGGTATTAGAGGTGCTAAATCCGCTTCTAAATTTATGTCAATTAATTACTGTATCCTTCCTTTGAACGTGATATCGGTATAGCGGCGATATATGTTCATATATTTAATCAACGTGAGGTGTGACCCGTCCAGGAATGTTGAAGAAGTCTTGGTGCAACTCTAATATAAATCTTTAGGACAAGCTCTCCCCCTCCTACTTGATAACTACCAAATAAATTTTTTGTGGGAAATATTATAAATCATACTCGCTCGAAAGTGTACAAATCAGGCGTCTTTCAGTGACGTACCCTGTACCCTATTGCATTTAATTAATTATATTTGCGCATAAATTATATTGTAGAAAAATTACGTAAATTGTTTCTAATTGAAATGATGCAATGAAATTTTTTTTAATTGATTAAAATTAAAAAAAAATGACGAAATTTTTTTTCCCCAGGTTCGTCAGATGGAAGATAGACTAGCGTGGAGCTCTCCAAGCAGCGCCCTGCCTGCGCCTGCAGGAGACGAAGGTGGTGGCTCTGCCTCACGTGGCGAGGCTGGGGGAGGCACCACTGACGTGGTCATCACCTCTCTCACCACACAAGTAGAGGAACAGGTCAGTTTTATGTGCTGTGCCTTCAGTTGTACGTGCTATGCCTTCAGTTATACGTGCTATGCCTTCAGTTATACGTGCTATGCCTTCAGTTACTATATGTACGTGCTATGCCTTCAGTTATACGTGCTATGCCTTCAGTTATACATTAATGAATGAGTCTCTATTGTTTCTACAACCTTTGGTTTATACTTTCATTCGTTTCTACAATCTTCAGTGAGCATTTAGACATAAATGAAGTTGCTCTTTCTAACTGCAGGAACTCGATGGGGCACGTATTTCGACCGTGATGTTTGTATAATTATATATGAAATTAACTTGATTTTTTGAAGAACATACCTATTTAAAAATTGTTGTTTTTTCTAATTGTCGAAAAAACCTTGAAATTTTACTTCGAGAATCATGCTTTCAATGTATGAATTTTATGTTTTTGATCCATTTTTTTTCAAATGAGATATTTTTGTGCCCTCGATGTACCACTAGCTTGCTTGATATGTTGTGTCCTCCATGTAATGATTCTGAAGTGATGACATTGTTACAGCGGCAGCTGCGGCTACAGGACGCGCGCAAGGTGGAGGCCAAAGCCGCTAAGATCAAGGAGTGGGTCACCAATAAGTTGAGGGAGGTGAGAAGTGGGTCAGCAATAAGCTTAGGGAGGTGAGAAGTGGGTCACCAATAAGCTTAGGGTGGTGAGTTCGTTTGCCAAGGCATTCATTCGCTAGTTAACGCCATGATTAGCATCTTGTTTAAACGTAGCAGATACTTAACTTTTATGTTTTAATCAAATTTACAATTACTGAAAGAAAAATTGTATTTAATTTTTGGAATTCCCCACTCGTTTTTCAGTGTCACAGAATTCTAGCATTAAAGTAAAATTTCGAGGTAATATCGCGACACGATGACTACGGTATCGTAAATACGCACCTGGACAGCCCATAAATATTTGCGACGCGTGGCTTCAAACACAATAACGAACTTTGACAAATAAAAATTACTAATAGGATAGCCCGTATAGCACGAGACATATTATTACTGCAATTTTGGAGGAAATGAAGCTAATAAAGATGAAGCTAAAGTATATTAATTAAGGAAAGGCCCATTCAAGCCAACATTGTATTGCTTCCATTTTACTCTGGTTCATAACGGGATGCCAGCACTGGCAACGTAAATTGTTCGAATGATTATCATGCATAAACTCTAATGCGTACAGAACCTGCTAGGTTTGCTGTCACCTCTACAGTGTGGGTGCATTCAAAGTACGGGACTTGATATTGAAATGAATTATCGATTGTATACGCATTCCTGCATGCTAATGTCTTTCCATTGCCATTTGTAATGTTTGATTGATGGTAAACGCGTATCCTACACATTTCCTCCAGCCTATTGATCCGTGTTTTTTGTTGTTTTTGCCATAAAGAACACCATGGAATTTTGATTGTGGGCCTGTGTTTGAGTATGTTGTGAGAGTGATTGTTGAGGTGGTTCGAGACGTAACTGGTTCGGTTTGCTGTTGAATGTTGCAGCAGCACCTTCACGACTATTCTTTTAGCGCATTTTCTCATTTATGGAAAAAAGGCGCTATTGTGCTCACACTGTCCGTCCGTCCGTCCGTCCGACTGTCTGTCTGTTTGTCCGTCTGTCTGTCTGTCCGTCTGTCTGTCTGTCCGTCTGTCTGTCTGTCCGTCTGTCTGTCTGTCCGTCTGTCTGTCTGTCCGTCTGTCTGTCCTTCTCTTCGTTTGTACGTCCGTCCGTCCGTGACTTCACGTTTTCATCGACGAGAAAATGCGCTCTCTGTCACACACTGCAGTGAGTACTGAGTTATATTTTATTACGCGTTCAGCTGGAGGTGCAGAACGCAGTGCTGCGTGAGCAGAACGCTAAATGCAACGTTCAGCTGGAGCTGCTCAGAGGCCGTCTCGCTCAGCTCTCTTCCCTGCACGCTGACCAGGAGACACAGGTTTGCTCTTAGCAAATATTAATAAATGATCAGGGTAATCATTCATTTCATAGCATGATCCCTGTGAAAACGTTGTGCTTTTACATGAATACAGTAAAAAATAAACAATTTTTAATGTTATAATAAATCATTCTCGAAAATATACGAAACTCATTTATTTGTACACGCATGGCGATTGGAAACATGGGATAGATATTTTATTGCAAAGCTATCATTCAAGATTGCTCTTTTAAAGCGGATTCCCGTTTGATTCTTAAACTATCGCGGGGAAATCTAAATTTTGGTAACTATACCCACCGCCAATTTCTAACGTCCTGTCCATCCAGTGAATTTATGAAAAATTCCTGAAGAGCGATAAATTTTTATTGTTTATACCTGTGAGATAATCTTAACAGTGGGTTAAGTAATACGAGGGCTAAATAATTGTTTTTTGGGGGATTTGAAGGTTCCGACCTTAAATAATTGAAATAAATAGTTACATAACATGTGGCACGTTGATGTTGCTTGCAAAATTTCTCTTAATATATTTATATTACCTTCTTAAAACAAAATAAATACTTATTAAGTTGTACATATAAGACTGATCATCGAATTGTGTTGAGCTCCACGTGTTGAATCGCCCTCCACTCGCTGTTACGTGTGGTTGCCTCATGTTTAAATTAATGCTTCAGATTTGCTGGATTTTTCTACAGTGTTTGACGTTTTCATGTGATCTGTATTCCTAATCGACATGCGATACGCAATCCTGAAAAAGAAAAAAGCTAAAATTGGCAGATATTTAAATTTAGTTTTCTTTCTAAAGGAATAATTTTTTTTCATGTTGGAGATACGACAAAACTAAAATTAAGCCAACTAAGGAATTCAATTGCTTCGACTTCTTTATCTGTATTGCAGTAATCCTACTTTGGCTTCGTGCTAAGTAAATAGAGCTTGGCAATAGAATCTGCATTTATCGCTAGGCTAAATTTTTTATATGTATTACTTGTGTAAAAACATAATTGTACCTGAACAGCAAGAATATTTATCTCTTAGCTTGAGAGCCCACTAGTGTATTATATAACCCATAGCTAGAATAAATGTTTAGATCGGTGCGTATCAACCTGAGTGGCAGCTAGCTCATTGAAGCGTCTATAATGCTGGAACTTGTTAGTTGTTATAACTTGTTGATATAACGTGATGTTATAACCTGTTGCCATAACCTGTTCTTATAACCGATAGCCCACATTTTTATGCATCGGTAAATAATCAATCTTCCTTCTATAATTCGACACTTGTGAATGCAAGAGCTTACTCGTACTCTGTGCATTACCTGTATTTATTTGCAACCATGCATGAGCTAGAGAAGGTTGATAAGCACTTAATGAGATGGTGATAGATTATTCTAACATTAGTGAACCTCCTCCCTGACTCTGTATGGCAGCTCAAATGGAAGCGTCGGTCCCTTAGTCTACCCAAGGTACGACCTCTAAAGCTTCCCATTTTCCCCTTATCATTATGTTAGATTATATTTATTTTTGTGTTTCCCTGTTCTGTATAACCTACCGATGTCGCATGCTACTCGCTCATTTGTTTCTGCTTCCCAAATGGTTTCATTATTTCCCAGTTGTTCAGTTTTCTCTGATTCATTGAGCCGACGTTCGAATTTCATACACTCGAGCTGCTCGTTAACTCTTGATGATCACTGCTATTTGGTTCGCTCGTTGTGGCAATTCATTGTTGTTTTCACTTGGACTCACAACAGCTCATTCTTTCTTTTGAGTTGTACTTATTTCCTAAAATGCACAACTTTAATGTTTATTCTATCTATTCTCATTCTATTTTTTCCGAAATTCCAGTTTTCATTTCACCCACTCGCTCTGAGCTTGTAACAATTGCGATACCGTATCATTCAAACGCGCCTACAAGATTTGCATGAACTTAGTTGTTTTCGATAAATAGCTAAATTTTGATGTTTATTGCACTTTATATAAACCGCTTAAACCTCTTCAAAGTTTATAAATACTTTTCTTTTCATTAGTCATGCATGCCCAATCATCGCGCTTTTTGAAGATTTGATTGAAAATTTGACGAAGTTTTCGCGCCAAACTATTTTTGTGAGTAGTGTTTTTTTAATGTTTCGTCAAAAATGATAATAATAATAATAATAATAATAATACAATACTAATGCAGTCGAATACAGTCTGTTGGATAGCCTGCTGTATCCATAACTTTCGCAGGGATTCTGAACAGGACCTTTATCGTCTTCACTTCAACCGATTGAGTTGATAACTTATGAATTAGTTCTGCCGATTGACCGATAACTTAGTTACCGGTATTTCCTTCAGTTATTTGATAACCGATTGACCGATAACTTAGTTATCGGTAGTTCCACCGGTTAATTTATAAACGATTGGCCGATAACTTAGTTACCGGTTATCGGTAGTTCCACCGGTTAGTTGATAACAGATTGGCCGAAAACTTAGAAATTGTTTCCAGAGCGTTGCTGATGCGTAGTACTTCGTGTTCAAGTTTATCATAATCTTTATCGATCTAGATTATTATGTCCATTCTACAAAGCAACGTTTTTTCTGAAACAATGCTTTGTCTTTCTTTTTGGTTTCCTTTCTCTGTAACGAGTTCCATTGAATTGATGTGAAATGTTATTTCAAGCGAGCAGTCAAGTTAAATTGAATCATTTAAAAAATCATTTGATTGATGTCTGATGCCTCATTTGTGATTGAATAATTCTTGGGTTAGAATTTCGCGATCTGAAGCGTTAAGTGTACTGAGTTTGTGTGTAACTGATAACTGGGCACGGCAGGAGAGCGGGCACGGTGGGTACGACGGTGTGGTCGAGGATGTGGTGGGCGGTGAGGTGCCCGAGACCGGCCTCTACATGCCCGCTCGGCCCTCCACGCTGGGCAGAGATCGCCGCAGCAAGTCAAGGTATTGCATCACTGAGCACTTACTATCCCTATATAAACCTTACCATCACTATATATATCTTACGATCTCTATATATACCTTACCATCACTATATATGCCTTACCATCACAATAATATAACTAAAAACCTCAATCTTGTATCTTAACATTTGCAATACTATATCTTAACATCACAGTAAAATCACTCGCCATCTCAATTTTATACCTTGCAATCACAATCTTATACTTTACCATCACAATCTAATACCTTGCAATCGTAATCCTATTCCTCACAATCAAAATCTTATTCCTTTTCATTTTAATCAGATGCAATCAGTGTCTTGCACATTTTTTCTCATTCTTATACCTTACGATCGCAGTCTTATGTCTTATCATAAAAACCTTATGCCTTATCTTATTCAGAACTGCCGGTGAGTGCGTTAACTTGAATATGATCGTGCTGTACTACAATCTATGCTCATGTCGCCAGACAAATGCGTCTGCTCAAATGTGCTCCTGCATTTGTTCATGTTCAAGCCGTATTTTACCCGAGAACATGCATGTTGGAGACTGAATCTTGCTACGTGTGTTCTGGCAAAATAGCGTTGCAGATTTTACGATCCAGAATCACTTTCATGTCGCAAAATATTTCTTCAAAATAGTTCTAATCCAGTATTCTTCCAGCCTCTTCTATATTCCGTTTTTATGTCGGCTACCTGGCAGCTTGGAGCCATTAACTTGTTGATTTTTGGTGTAGTTGTCCACTTAAGTTGTTATTGAAAGGCATAAAAATGACTTGATATTTTACTGGCCTCAATTGAACCGGTTAGAAATGTTTTAACATTTGATTATTATTTGTAGTGTTTCAAACCAGATCCCTGATTAAGTGTTGGAGACGTTTTTGACTTTTTGTTGATACTCGCGTTGACATCAATATATGCCATATTTAAAGCCTTGAAACCTGTTTGGTGTTGCTTAGGTCGCCCAACAGCATACGCAGGGCGAGCTCCAGCGACACTGACGCCAACTACGCAGACCAAAACCGCAACAATGCACTCCACCCACACCACCGTCATCACCACCATCATCACCACCAGCAGCACCTGCACCACATGCATCAGTCACCTCAACACTACGCGCATCTCAATCAGTCACCACAACACCTGCCTCATCATCAATCACCACAACACCTACCTCATCATCAGTCCCCACAACACCTACCTCATCATCAATCACCACAACTAACACACCATCAATCACCACACCTGCAACACCATCCCTCACCACAACACAGCAGTCTTCTTCTCAACGGCCGCAATAGTCCGGCATCACTGCGACTTTCTAACGTCTCCGAAAACTCCAACAAAAATCGTCGTGTCACTCCTAGGGACTCGAGAGTAGACTCTGGGTCTGTAGACCTTGAGACTCCTCAGAGCATGAGTCCTAAGAGTCCTCTGGAAGCGATGCTGAACAGCCTGACTCACAGCTCTGGCAGTCTAAGTCTCACACACAGCAGCAACGGTAGTCTACCACGCAGCAATCGTGCGTGCGACAGCCCGCGCAAACCTGTCCCGCAGCCACGCACAACCAAGCCTGGCCTACCAGGCACCAGTTCTACTCACCACTCAGGAGTTGGCTTCCCAAGCACTCATAGTTTAGATCAGCAGCAGCAACAACAGTCGCATAGCCTCAGCCACAGTGCGGACAGCCTCAACAGTTCGGCGGAACGAGCGTCTAGACTCTCAAGAGGAGAGGACGGTCATGGCAATGAGTACAGCGAGATCTACACCCCCAGCAAGGAGTGGCCGGGAGGAGGCGAAACTAATGGGGAAAAACCACCTACGCCTCCTTTGCATCGCTTCCCTTCCTGGGAGAGCAGAATATATCAGGTGAGACGCGGTACTGTTAGGTTTTACTTCGCGGTCTTTGGTTGAACTAGATTACTGATGAAGGGTAATGTTTCTACTACTTTATTATTACGATACATTCACAAAATGTGAATTACGCACTAAATTGATGTAGAAAAATTGTACTCCTCATCGATTGTCCGATTCTGATTTCAGTACATCATCATAATTCATGTTTCAACTAATGAAAATAGTATTTGACATAAAAATACATGTATATGTTGGTTATTGATTGTTGTAACGGCATCCCTCGTAAACCCATCGATGGCATGGTCTCCAGTCGCTCGTACGCAACACGTCTGCTTAGTGCTATTTCACATGTCCTAACACCATTAACTCCTTGCGTATTCAAAACCTAAGGACTACTAGTTCTCCCAAGAGGGACTGTACCAACACATGCCAGTCTCGTTGCATTAACACGCACCCCGCCTTCAGGTCGCCCAGGAAGGACTCTCCCGCCACAGCGGCATGTGTGGAGGCAGCAGCGACGGCAGCTTCACGGGGGAGACGCGTGGTGGCGGCCGTCGCTCTTCAGGCTTGGGCAGTTATCCTGAGATCCACGTGCCTGTCTATGCTGCTGTCAAAGGGGTACGTGACTGTCAACATTGTTATCATTGAGAACAGTCACATGAATTTTGTACTTCTGAATTGTTTTTAATTACGATAACTATGTATGCGCCATGGTTGTGAAGTACTGTGTTCTATACGGCAGCGTGCCAGCCAGATCCGATCTGTCCCGTTCACCGGCGACTCGTCAGACTCGTCCGACAATGAGGACCATTGTATGGGGGGAGGCAGTGGGGCTGGCGGGCTCTCTTCCCACACTCCCTCTTCTGCTGACTCTTCCTCTTCTTCACCTTCGAAGAGCAAAACTTCTTCTCTGTCTCCTGCCAAGCTGTCTGGGTCATCGCCCTCGAGGAGCATGAGAAGAGGTGAAGGTTTGAAGCCAGGCTTCAAGGGGCATGTTTATGACGATAATTTGTGTGGGCAATGAATTTGGAATTTTTGTCATTGCACTTGATTTTATTTTCAACGGAAGGTTTATAATCTCGTTGTGGTTCTCATTCTTTCCTTGTTCGTTGGAATTTGCTTGTTGAACGAACTGCAGGGCGATCGGGACCGAAAAAAGTAATTTCTACTCATTATGATCGAATGTAACGGGTTCGTTATACCGGACTCATTTCTATCTTTTACTGTTATTAAATAAAAGCCTTATTTAATGGTATCATCTCGTGTACCGAGTTCTTGTTCGCCCTGTGGGAGTTCTTGTTCGCTCCGTGCTTGGTGCAATGAATGCACACCAATTATTAATGAAATATGCAATTCATCTATACGTGTGAGCATCACGTTCCAATTTTTGCAGTGTTATTCATGTTTAATTTCTGAAGGATATTTTCTTTGCCTGTGTTTTAGTTAAACTTGGTTCGTATAGAATCCCAGTCAGAGAAATGGTTCCTCAATGGTTCGAGTGATGCGGACCCTAACTTCTATTATATTTTTTTTTTTCACAAAATGAGTTTATGGCTATCCGCTCATAATTACGTCATTTATTTGAATTCTTATTCCGTCTATTCTGGCGCCATAATCTTATCTAGTTACCTAGTTTTATTTCATCTATTTATGTTTTTACTCTGTTTGTCGCTGTGTACAACGCATCATCCTTCAGTTTGCATTGGCTTTAAATTCCACTGCCTCTTAAACGTTTATACGTTCCTCCCACACCCGCCTGCTGGTGTCAGCATTCCCACCTTCATGTCTCGTGTCTTCCTTATGCCTGCTGGTGTCAGCATTCCCTCCTTCATGTCTCGTGTCCTCCTTACGCCTGCTGATGTCAGCATTCCCTCCTTCATGTCTCGTGTCCTCCTTACGCCTGCTGGCGTCAGCATTCCCTCCTTCTTCATGTCTCGTGTAATCCTTACGCCTGCTGGTGTCAGCATTCCCTACTTCTTCATGTCTCGTGTCCTCCTTACGCCTGCTGGTGTCAGCATTCCCTACTTCTTCATGTCTCGTGTCCCCCTTACGCCTGCTGGTGTCAGCATTCCCTCCTTCATGTCTCGTGTCCCCCTTACGCCTGCTGGTGTCAGCATTCCCACCTTCATGTCTCGTGTCCCCTCCGTCCCTCTCGTCCCATGTCCCTATATTGCCTGACGTGTTTGTCCCGTCCCGTAGAGCCTCGAGTGTCCCAAGCAACTGTCCCTGACGACTGCCGTCTGAGCGTCCCACATTCCGGTATGTTATTCTGATTTTTGGCAAAGCTTTACTTCCCTTCCATAAAAATCGACTTAATATCAAACAATTCCTCGGTAATGGCTGCTGGATCATGAATCTTCTTATTAACCCACCCTCATTGCACTGCAACTAATCAGAGTATAACTGAGCTTGCCATTCACTACTGTAAGACTAAACCTCACAGCTAAGATTTTCAAACGATTTTCCGCGGATACACTCAAAAAAATATAACTCAGTACTCACTGCAGTGAGTGACGGAGAGCGCATTTTCTCGTCGACGAAAACGTGAAGTCTCGGACGGACGGACGGACGGACAGACGAACATGGCGAGCACAATAGTGCATTTTTCCATAAATGAGAAAATGCGCTAAAACGAGTGAAACTTAGCGCAAATAAAGCGATGCACTTTTTGCCTTGTTATATGTGTCATCCTGACCTAGTTTGCCCCTGGTAAAAGGACGTATCAGTGCTACGTGCATGAAGTGTGTCATTATTTTGAGAAAGTGACCCATTCATTTTTCGTACCGTAGCTTCACGGGCGCTGGGTTGTGAAAGAGTCTCGTTAGATTGTTCTTTATCTCCAGATCTGCATGTTATCGGAGAGTTAAATTGTGAATTTTTCGCTTCCAGTATCTGTGCAGGCTCCCTTAACAACTTCAATATGACTGCAATCGTATTAATTCCATTCACTTATAGGTTCTTTTCGCAACAGGATCTTCACTACTTGATCTAAGACTCATCTTTACTATCTCGATCTCATTCATGCAACTCTTGGTTGCTTTGAAATTCACTTAACGTTAATGCTGAAACATTTCTTCACTTATTCTCAACACCATCCTCCAGAGCGTCAGTATATCAGTGGCTATTTGTGCTGTTGGTGGTAAATGAATGTAAAAGTTGGTGGTAAATGAATGTATAAGTCATTATATTTGCCAAAGAGAACATTTCTGGTAGCACTCGCCAGTCAAGGCTTATCAGCTAACCATGTTTGCGACTTTCATATATTTTCAACTTGACTGTTGAAACAAAATTAAATCATTCATCTGTTATGGCAATGGAAATAAATAAATATTTGTACTCTTACTATTATTTAACCTTGTTTTATCAGAGCACTGTGGACTATTTTGTATTTGTCTAGAATTTTATTTTTTTTCGAGTCTATGATAATTATATATATGTTTTATAACGAATAAAGTAAAATCGATCAGCACACTGTACTAATTAAATCTATGCATTTTAAATGTTCCTCTATCATACAAACGCTCAACGTTCCGTGAGTTATCTTAAACTCAGCACATATTTATCATATGAGCCGAGTTTAAATAAATATATATATATTAAATATTATGTATTTAATCACTCCTTCAGACATCTTGTTCGAGTCTGGCCTGTCGGACGACTATGCCATCCCTCTCGAGCCGAGTTTAAATATTATATATTAAATGTTATATATTAAATATTAAGTATTTTATCACTGCTTCAGACATCTCGTTCGAGTCTGGCCTGTCGGACGACTACGCCATCCCCCCCGACGCCCGCAGTGAGAGTTTATCATTCGACACGACGCTGCCACTGAGCGCCCGTAACTCCTGTCTCGACCACACCATCAACACTACCCCGCGCACCAGCAGCCTAGAGCCTGCTAACGCACCTACGCCTTCACATACGCTCGCTAACAGCACGTAAGTACAACGAGATTTTTTTAATTAAGTTATTTCGTTCAGGTAATTATTGGAAATGCTCTTGAATTATCGGTTAGGCCTCACATACGCTCTCTAGGCCTCACATACGCTCGCCAACAGCACGTCAGTACAACGCAATTTTTCAATTACTTTGTTTCATTCAGATCATAATTGTAATTGCTCTTGCATCCTCAGTTAGGTTCGGTTAACGTGATGTATGGTTAGCCGCAATCGCTAATATAGAACGAAGCACCACCGCTTTGATAATTACTTTGAAATTTTCTAAAGTTCTTGTCGATCTACGAAGCAAAGCTCTACGCGAAGCAAAATTAGAACTATAATTTTTGATTTCTTCAGTGTTCACCCTTATAAATTTCTGTTTGAGTTCACTAGTATTATTTGATAGAGTTCAGGCTTATATGAAGCAAGTCACAAGAGGGAATGTTTGTGATGAATTTAGCGACTAAGATATTTAAAAATTTGAATTCGATGAAATATTGAATCTCTAATTTCGCCAGAACTCCGCGATCGCGTTCTCAATATATACCTACAGATATTGAACTGTATTATTACCAATTATATTATTTATAATAATATGTCATTATTCCCATATGATTGTTGTTATCAGTTGTGGCGGCAGCGTGGGCAGTGTAGGTGGCATGGTGTCACCCCGACCAGACAGTCTCGAGAAGAGCGGCTACCTCACCAAACTCGGCGGTAAACTCAAGACGTGGCGCAAGAGATACTTCGTACTCAAGGACGGCACGCTCTCGTACTGGAAGAGTCAGGTCAGCTTAGGGGCCTTTGCTTAGTTTTGTTGTGGTCTTAGTTCCTAAAGAAACTCCTCAAAAAAAAAACGAACCAACGACTTATGTACAGTATAACTATACTGTACTTAAGTCGTTGGTTCGTTTTTTCTAGTGATCATATTGACAACGTCTGAGCATAATTCGAAAATTAGTTTATCTTAACGAGTCTGGTGTGTTGCCAAATATTTGTCTGGAGATTTGGATTTTCTAGAGCGAAAAATCGTATAGTGAGTGTTAAATTGTGATACCCCCACCATATTGTATTTTAACAAATAAGACTGATTGACCAACAATATTAGTTCAGGTAATATCGGTTCACAAATTTCCTTCGCATATTAAGAAGAAACTACGTTTATGTGTTGTAAAGAATGTAATATTTTTTATTCAATTTTACGTCGAACTTGTGCTGGTTTCCTTGTGCAATACGTCTTGAAATGTGTAAGGTAAAGCAATGTTACTTGAGCGATGCCCATTTCAAGGAATCCATCACGTTTCAATCAAATCTTTTGACTTGAATATCAATTGCTCCGCTGAAAGTAGCTGTGTTCGATCAGTATATATACTCATTGTTTCTCTCATTCATGACTTGATACCAGGTTCATTTTCGAAATTTACATACCGCCAAAATTTTCAGTACCATTTCTTCTATGTCACGTTTCTAATTTTCAAGAACAGATTCATTCTTATGTCAAATTTCAGATATGTTGAGACTATGCTTACAAAATCATGTTTATGCCTCATTCCTTGGTGAACTTTTTCGCAAGTAACTTTTACATGGATACTTTGTTCTGCATCAAGTACCTCTCAGTTTCACGGATTAATGTTAGGTTATATGAACAATGTATTTTTATAAACAATGAGTGTTATATGAACAATGTTATATGAACAGTCTGACGTGACGAGAAGCAAGGCTGCTGGTGAGATAGTTCTGGACGGCAACTGCAGAATCAACAGATCTGAAGGCTCGCACACGTTTGAAGTCAACACTGGCAAGAAGACTTACTACCTCACCGCCGACACCACCATCACGGTGGAGGACTGGGTCCGCACACTGCAGGTCACTAACTTTTATTTGCTAGTGACGCTGCTGGTCACTTTAGTCTTTTATTTGCTAGTATCAAATTATGTTTTAAGTATACCTGAACCTTTTGGAATCTGTGTCGCGTCTATATGTTTTTCAAGTTTCAATTGAGATTGAGCAGCCGTGTCTGCTGGTATTTTGTTCTTTGTTGACACCGTCACTACCTCTATTACTAGAATTCCACTATGGTTGACATCCAGTCTGCTTCTGAGCCTTGTAGTTAATTGACAAGTATTGTCAAGCAAATTGTTCGACGTGGTCTATTGATCAATGTGTATTTTGAGGTCTATTAATGTATATGTGTGTTATGTGGTCTAGTAATGTATGTGTATGTTTTGAGGTCTAGTAATGAATGTGTGTGTTATGTTGTCTAGTAATGAATTTTTGTGTTATGTTGTCTAGTAATGAATGTGTGTGTTATGTGTTCTAGTAATGTATATGTGTGTTATGTGTTCTAGTAATGTATATGTGTGTTATGTGGTCTAGTAATGAATGTGTGTGTTATGTTGTTTAGTAATAAATGTGTGTTGCAGAACGTGGTGCGACGTAACGCCACCCGCCTGCTGCTGAGCCGAGAGGACCAGCAGCCAACACTGCAAGGCTGGCTTACTAAAGTTAAGCACGGACATCCTAAGCGCTGCTGGTGCGTTCTCATCGCCAAGACCTTCATCTACTTCAAGAACCCATCAGAGCAGGTCTGCTGCTTTGAATACTTGGAAAAATTAGAATCGTGAACTGTTATGAACCGTGAAACCAGAATGGTTGAACAATCTAGCTTAACTAGAAAGCAATTGAACTTCAATAGTCGAACTAGCTTCAGCAAAAATTTAATGTTGGCAATTTTTAGCATTCATCTCAATGAATTCTTCAAATCTAGTTTAAAATGTCTATTTTTGCAATTGGCCAAACGTATTTTCATGTCTGAGATCTTGCGCCAAACTTTACTAATAAATTTTTGACACTTCATAATGGTCGAGATGAACATCGACCTTCTACACTAAATAAAAGTAATTTTTTTCGAATTAACACAACTGGCGCCGAAGTACTTGACTTTCTCCTGCTTGCAGACGCCCCTGGGCCAGATCAACATGCGGGAGGCGCGGGTGGAGGAGGTGGAACGCGTCTCGGACAGCGAGGGCGAAGAGACTCCCGGGGATGAGATCGGGGCTGGACAAGAGGACCTCACCATCGCCATCTTCCCCAACAACCAAGGCCCCACGTACCTCATCATGCCCACAAAACAGGATAAGGTAGCGGCACTCTATGACGCTATTTAACGGGATTAAGCTTATTTTTTTCTAGTTATTTTTAGTTTTTTGCATTTTTGAGTAGAATACGGTGGAGTTTTCATGTGTTTTTAAACAGCATGAAAAGGGGTTGGATGTTCATTCTGTTTAACCTAATTTCTTTCTTAGGAATTTTGCCTCCAGAGCCAAATGCTGTTTTGCGTCTCATACTGCACAAAAATTTCAAAGCAAAGAAAATCCCAGTATATTCACCATATGTTTGTCTCAAACGTTTCGATGACCAGCTCCATCTTCATCAATTTATCGGGGGTGGGAGGAATTTGAACATGAACTAAAAGTGCTTCCGAGTTAGAATCAATGGCGTTTGTACATTGGTGCAATAAGGTAGCATTATCTCCACTTGTACTACATGTACAAGGTACTACTAGCAACACTTGTACTACATGTACAAGGTACTACCAGCTACCCTTGTGTGTACAGGACCAATGGTTGTACCACCTCACCGTGGTGTCGGGAGGAGGCAGCACGGCAGGCACGCAGTACGAACAGCTCGTCCACAAACTCATGGAGCTCGACGGAGATCCCAGTGAGTCTTTGTGTCTTTAAGTTTACGTGGAGATATTTAGCTTTGAATAATATTCTTCTTGTAAATAGCGCATGACCACTAGTAAATAAAGACATGTGTGTGCATTGATAAAGTTTTGCTTAAGGAACCTGCACTTCAATACGAGACAGGGCATTGAATACTACTTGTAATATGTTATGGTGTAAGGCCTTTCGATCAAATGCTAATGCTCTTAAGAACTTTGATTTTGCACGTCAGAATTGTTCTCGGCAATATGAATTGTTGCCAGAGCAACTTTAAATCCACTTTGTCCCATTGTAGCATGTCAATATTACAAAAAATATTAGACTGATAATGGTTCATGATTCTTTATTGTCTGCACTCCCATTTGTTACTTTTGAATTTTAACAATCTCGAGGGAATTCCGTATTCATTTTAGGTATATATTTATTGCGTCTATGTTATTGATCGCGTTACCGTGCGATAATTTCAGATCCACTTTGTCCCTAGCAGCATGTCGATATTACAAGAAAAATGAGAGCTCTTACAATCCTATTGATTAATTAATTTGAGGTATTACTTCCACGGAAAGATGAAATCGCTGTCCTCTTACGCTCAATGCAATGAATTTAATATAGCATTGCCTCTGAGATAGATTGTCTAACGAGTCCAATGAGCCTTCAGGAGCGTTATCTCAGAAGGGTACATCATTTTCGTATACCGGTATCTCCTACTTTTCTTCTTAGACGCAATCTTCACACATCAGCCAATAGTGTTGAACAATGAACAATTTTTAGTCTTCCATGTCTCGTATTTTCCCCGTATTTTTCGGTAGAATAAACACAAAATAAAGAAAAAGCTGTTGTCAGCTGCATTGAAGTAGCTATGAATTAATCCGTACATGTTTGATGTGGCCAAGGAAATAATCAATTAATTTGATTATTGCGGTGTTTGCAGACTGCGTGCTGTGGCGCCACCCACTCCTGCTGCACTCCAAGGAGCCCCTCGCCTCCCCCCTCACCTCCCTCCCCACCCCCGCTCTCCAGGCCGAGGCTCTCAAGCTCTTCAAGGCACGAAACTTTCTAATGGCGTTAAAATATAATTTTTTTTTTGAACCGTGTGCTTTTTAATGACTTTGATACATTTATTTCTCCTACACTTTGTTTACACTATATTGGAAAAAAGTAACTATTAATTGATCAAGTAGACATAAGCGTTTTATTCGATTATCTTCACCGGGCAAGTGACGCCCAAATGGTATGAACTTAACTTATTCTATTACTAATATCTTCGTTTTTGTTTTTAATTGGCAGATCATGTCTTTGCTTCCTCCATGTTTTTATTATTAATTACATAAACATTTTTCAAACTATAAATAGATTGTAATTTATTATTGTACGTTGCAGTCAGTGTCACTGTACACGTCAGTGCTGCTAGACGCGTCGGGCATCGACTACCACGTCAATTACTAATGTATTCGTTTATGTTTTTAAATAACAGATCATGTCTTTTGTTTTTGATATTTCTATGATTAATTACATGAAAATATTCTAAACTACAAATAGATTGTAATGTATTATTGTACGTTGCAGTCGGTTTCACTGTACACGTCAGTGCTGCTAGACGCGTCGGGCATCGACTACCACGTGGTGCTGTGCCAGAACGCACTGCAGCAATGCCTCGATGTTCCTGAACTTCAGTCTGAGCTTTTCTCTGCTCTAATAAAACAAACCTCAAAGCACCTGCAAGCCAAAGCCGGCGTGCAGGTAACCAAGACTTTGAACAAAATCAAGCACTCCCGAGTAAGTGTCCTAGCTTTATGTGCAGTCCTTATCTTTACTTTATAATTATTTATAATTATTATTATATTCCCTAATTTGAGGTACGGGGTGCTAATGCTTTCCCTCGAATGCATTAGGTCTCTGCACCTCACAACTTACGGGGAATTATCCCTATTGATTGCATGTTTACACTCATGGATATATTGTTGCACAATATTGTTTATGTGTGTTTTATATATTGATATATTTGCATGATCTCAAGCATTATCTTAGCCTGACTCTCATCTGGAGTCTATATGCACTAGATGTATTAGAAATATAATATTTTCTTTTTACCCCTCTCTTGAATTCTGCAACTGACTATTTAAAGTACAATTCATATTGACCATGAATAAATGTTCAAACTTTATATCACTCTTTGCTGTGATGAATATCACGGTATGGAATGTTTACGTAATTCCATTCTTCCTCAGGAACTCCCTACCATTTATGATGCACTGTTAGCATTTAAATATGTTCAAAATCGGCCCTTTCTATCCATTTATTTACCAAACATTTTACTCCTCTTCATTCTCGTGTTCATGTCAAAATTTTTACTTTTCATTGCTCTGATCGTAATGATTTTCTCGTGCTTTCGCATTTGTCGTGGCGTAGCGCTTTAATCTTTCCAAGTTATTTATAGATGGGATTTTTTGATTGGTCATTAATTAGGATTAGATTCAGTTATTTTAATAGATTTCCTAAATAGTGTGGTCTAAACTCGTCTAATTTAGTTCGATCAAGCTTTGTTTGCTAATCCAAATCGCGCATGCTTAAGATTCGACGTTCCAGTAGCACCCCGACTCCCAGAAATAGTCAATTAGACCTCCATTAGTTACCTTAAATGATCACTTTCAAACCTGTATGGTACCGAAAATTATTTTTTAAAATATTCTCAATATTTATCTTTATTCCACCCGCTGCTTTGCCAGTACCCTTGCTGAAGCGTTTCCAATAGGAATTGTACGTTCTTTCATGTGCTTCTAAATATCCCTCCAGATAAAGATTGGAAATTTTTGTAGCCTATGAGTGTTGTCACATTTTTCCTATCTCACTCAAGCCGCCTCCTCGTGATGTCTGTGAGAACAATAATCCGCTTCCCTCGTGTATGTGTCGACGTTGTCATGTGTTACACGGAAATCTAGTTGCATCGCTAATAAAATCACGGTCTTTCTTTTATTTAAATAACTTTTCCAGTGTTTGGGATCTCGCGTCTGTCAGATTTTGCGGTACCTAGTATTTGTTCATAACTTTTTTTGAAGAGCGTTTCGTGTAAGCTCGCTCGGCAAATCATTTGATTTGTAATTTTAAAAGGGAGTATATAGCTGCAACTAATTTCACTATTTTTTGCGTAAATTCAATTTTCATATTTTTACCCTCCGTTTTATTTCCAAGAGTGCGGTGCAATTATGTCCCGTTTTAAGCCTTTTACCCATATTATTACATACTTTTAATCGCGTCGTCTCATTCTTGGGCAGAACCTGCTGCTGTGCGCGACGCAGAGTCTTTTCCTATGCGACTCCTCGGGTGCCCAGAAGGCCTCGCCTACACTAGGCAGTCAGCAACAGCTGCCCGCAGATCCTAAGATCAACCCGCCAAGCTTCACCTTCCTGCAAGGCTGGCAGTTCCTCGCCCTCGCCGTCTCGCTCTTCGTGCCCCGCAACAGCAAACTGCTTTGGTACCTCAAACTTCACCTACAAAGAAATGCCGACCCGAAGTAAGCAGCTCACGTTTTTAGAAACTATGAATATTAATCATTCACGTTGTAAATAATTGATTAATAATATTGTAATTAATACCTTTTTTAACGACATGAAAAGTGCTAGTGTGGTTAATCAAGTAAAGGCCGATTCCACGGTTATTTAGTAAAATACGTGGTCTTCTTAAGGCCTCCTTTTGTCTTGGTTAATTGAAGCACCGAGTGAATCTATTTGTGGCCTTTAATAATTCATCAACATAGGTTTTTGTTACTCATATGATTTAAACATCATGCACTGATTGCTGCTAATTAATTGGTAATAATTAAAATCACAGAACGGAACAAGGCAAGTACGCTGCGTACTGCCAGCGCAGCTTGAACCGCACCCTCGAGCTGGGGGGCAGAGAAGCTAAGCCGTCCCGCATGGAGGTGCTCTCCATCCTCCTCAAGAACCCCTTCCAGCACAGCCTCCCCCACGCCATTCCTGTCCACTTCATGAATGCCACTTATCAGGTGAACTCATATTCCTACATGTTCCATTACACGTGATGGTCAAGCTCTACACTTGCTTTTCTTTATGCGTGATGGTCAAGGTCGGCATAGTTCATGTTCTTACGCGTACCATTCTACGTAATGGTCAATGGTCAATTCTATTCATGGCTTACATTCTATTCATGGATTTATTCATTCTACATAATGGTTTTGTCATGGTTCATATTCTTACACCTACCATTCTATGTATCAGCATCGTTCATTTTCCTTATCTAATGGGCCTTCTAACTCCATGCATCGCTCTTACGTATGGATTATGGAATATTTATTCTGATAATTACTTCATAAATATTGTGCCATGAATACAACTGATACCTCTGATGTTTTGTTAAACATTTATTATTCATTAGAATTTTCTCTTTTTGCTTAACTTTAACTGTTTGGTTGTGCAGGTGGTTGGTTTTGACGGCAGCACAACCATTGAAGAATTTCTGTGCTCGCTGAACCACGAGATAGGCTGCCGCGACGCCCAGCAGAGCGGCTTTGCCCTCTTCTCCGACGACCCCATCGAGAAGGACCTCGAGCACTGCCTCAACCACAGCGCTAAGGTGCGCCTTATTACCCGCACAAACTTACTATCATCATGAATGATAACGTAGTACTATTTGAATAATAATGCCTAATTGCAAATAATAAGGGCACGCAATATGAATATTAATGCCTCTAATTGCTAATTAAAATGTAACACAATATAAATAATAATGGCTCAGATTGCATATACTTGTGCCTCAGATTTCAAATAATAATGCCAAGCAAATAGATAATAATATCTGAAATTACTACTAATAATGGCATAGATATTTTTCACTTGACTGTCTTTAATTGAGCTCTAATCTATTTCCTCATTTTTTTCCATAGTGTAAATATTGTAACATGGTTTGCTATTGTTTGTACTGTGGCATGTTTATCAATATGATCACATTGAATTTCCCCGAGTGTCTCATTAGAGTAAGTTCATTAAAAAATAGTTTGCACCTTTTTTCTGACGGCTCATCTACTTTCAGCTTTGCGACGTCATATCGAAGTGGGAGACAGCTCTGCGCGAGAAGGGATCTGGCAAGTTCGAAAATACCAAGGTTATCAGATTATTATTCAAGTGAGTAACGCGATTAACGCGTCTTCAGGTTAATCCATACCTTTCAGTTTATGCATGACGCCTAAATCAATTCTGAAGCTATTAATTTATTATTTGTCTTGCGTTCCGTATCATGCATGGATCAAGCTACTGCGTAATTTATTGTTTCTTTTGCGTTCCGTATCATGCATGGATAAAATAAAAAGGTTTTCGAGCCAAAATTTAATAATACCCGGCAATTGAATATTTTATTTTGCTTGAGAAACATACCATCGCTGAATTAGTGAAAACTTGTCATTGTTGCAGGTCGCGGTTGTACTGGAGAGCGCTGAGCAAGAATGAGACAGACCGAGAGAAGCTTCTGCTTTGCTACCAAACAAGCGCACAGATCCAACTGGGCAGATTTCCCCTTACCAGGTGCCGTAACTCTTATAGTTTCCACTCACCAGGTGCAGTAATTCTTAGTTTCCACTCACCAGGTGCAGTAACTCTTATAGTTTCCACTCACCAGGTGCACTTACTCTTATAACTTCTTCCCATTTAGGCCGTGTACCCAGGTTTAGGTAGAAATTGTCGGCAGTAGGCAGTTGCTTCTTAGCTTACAGTTGCCAGGTAAGTAACATAATTTATATTTAGTGCCGTTTAGTCTCTCATTGGAGCAAGTTTTTCGAACGTCGTGTTAGTATTTTCGCACACGCTGAATAATTTTCAAGTTAACAATTTGACATCAGTTGGCGAAAAAAATGGTTGTGGTTGAGAACGCTGACAAAAATACCATGATAATCAATTTTTGAAGTATTAATTCTTTGTCACTACACAAATTGCGTTGGTGTGACAATATTAGTCAAAATGTACAATCCGTACAATGTACAAATGTACAATCATTTCTTTGGTTACTTGGCGGAAATTGGAGTTGATGGAACAGTTCCAAACATTTGCTCATTTTTACTTATTTTTTGTTAATGTTTTCTGTAACAGTTCGCTCATTGACCTCTATAATCTTACCCTGCTTGGAAGTATCAAGCATAATGGATTATTTGTATTAAGATCCAGGCGTGTGAGGTCATTTAAATAGAAATAAAAAGGAGATCTTTGTGAGGTCATAGAAATAATTAGTTCATTATCCTTTTTTCTTGCAGGGATTTAGCGCTGGAGTTGGCCGCGCTCATGGCCCAGATCGACATGGGGGAGGTGAACAGCGAGCGCTCCCGAGGGTCGGGGTCTGGGGGACCGTCCCCTGCCCACGTCCTACAGGCCTACAACAAATTCTACCCCCCGCGGTATCGAGAAGATCCTCCTGACCAGTAAGTTTTATTTACTCCTGGTACTAATTAATCAATTAAACATACCCGATTTTTAATAATTAGTTAATCATCCACCAGCTATGGTTTCTTGTAAATAAGTTGACAGAAACCACAACATGGGAAACGATATAAATCGTCGATAAGTGAATATAGTTTGTAAGGCAATCTAATGTGGGTATTGGATTAAGTAGGGAAGACGTTAATTTACTTGGTTCTTAACTCGAACTAAATGGCTATTTACACGTTGTTCACTGGATAATAGGCAAACGAATTTGAACATTTTCGTGTTTGTGGTGATATCAGATCCTAAATACAATGTTAAGGTTTGATCAATTTAATGTTTTTGTCACTCATAGGGCGACTCTCGACTCCCTGCTGGAGAAGTGGCTGGGTCTCAGAGGTCGGAGTCAGGCCGAGTGTGTGCGCATCTGCCTGACATGTCTCCGTAAATGGCCACACTTCGGAGCAGCGCTGTTCCCAGCAGCCATGCCTCCTCTTCCACCTCCACACAATCGTTAGTGTCCCACTGCGCCAATTGAATCACAAACAAATCATTCCCCTTTTTTCAATGAAGACAAAATATATTAAAAATTTCTATATTGGGATACGATATTATAACTTCAAAGCATTTTATAGTTGATTTTCACTGCCATGCAATGGATAAAGTAGGATTGTTTGATTAATTGTTAGTGAAAAACAAGAGCTGAACGACGTTCTCTTTCATCGAGTTGAATACCGCGGTTGTTATTGCAGCAAGCAGCAGCTCGTCTTCAGGCGGCACGACGAAGAGCAGCGGCAGCCCATCGAGCCCCACGACTCCCCCTACACCGTTGTGGGTCGCCGTCAGCGAGGAGGCCGTGTCTCTCCTCGAGTTCACCGCCATGACGCCCATTGCGAGGTGCCTTCCTTACCATCAATGAACTCTCTCATTCTATTTCTCGTTACGACTTCGTTTACTTCCTTACCATCAGTGAACTCCCTCACTCTATTTCTCGTTACGATTTCATTTACTTCCTTACCATCAGTGAACTCCCTCACTCTATTTCTCGTTACGATTTCGTTTACTTCCTTACCATCAGTGAACTCACACTCCATTTCTCGTTACGATTTCGTTTACTTCCTTACCATCAGTGAACTCCCTCACTCTATTTCTCGTTCCGATTTCGTTTACTTCATTACCATCAGTGAACTTCCTCGCTCTATTTCTCGTTTTGATTTCGTTTACTTGCACTTAAACTATGTAAATGACAAATTAACGTTTGATCGATCGCGGTAATACGAAGGATTCTAAAAATAATTTATACAGTAAGTAATAATAATATTTAGAATTAAATTGTTCCTCAAGAATAAAGCTCGCGATGTGCAGAATAAAGAACTCAAAACTCTACTTCATTATCTTAGCCTTGGGGATGTCTTATATTAAAAATCGACTCCTAATAATATATAATTACTGACAATAGTTGCTAATGTTTGTTGTGTTGCCGCAGGTACGCGTACAGCAGCGTGGTGACGTTTGGAGGATGTCAGGAGGACTTCATGCTGGTGGTGCACACGCGGGAAGGCGAGCAGGGCGTGCCCGGCACCCACAAGCTCCTACTCAGCATGACTAAACCAAAGGTCTGTAACCTCTCCTATAAGTAATTTTACAATTTGTTAATAAAATTTGTTTGTTCGTTAATAAAATTTGTTTATTAATAAAATTTGTTTGTTCGTTAATAAAATTTGTTTATTAATAAAATTTGTTTGTTGTTAATAATTCAGAAAAAACGTATCCTCTCATTTATACAACCTTATTATTGTTTGTATGTATTGTATGTCTTACTCGAATAATAGCTTCAACTATTTGAAGAAATCTTTTTGTTTTACCGGCAGGTGCTATAGTACAACTAATTGACATTGAATTCAATATAAAATATTCATCGTTTTTTTAGTTATCGTTGCAGCAATATGGATGCCATGACCTGATATGCATTTAAGCTTTGTTAAACTATCATTTGACTGATGAATAACAAGTAAGTTTTGTTGCAGATATTAGAGTTGACCCTGCTGATCGCGGACTACATGAACGCCCTGGGACGAGCTCTTCCCCCTGGAACTCCCCAGCCTCCAGGCAGCCTCACGAGACACGGGTCCAGAAGGTACGTTGTCTGGTCCCTGGACCCCGTCCCGACTAAGCCTCCTGATCCCAAGAAACGCTGATGACGAAACGCTTGCTCCTGCTGTGGAGCTTACCTGCTTCGCTACCATGACACGGCGTCACTTGCTACCTCCTGCTCCCTGCTGTAGCGCTTCGCTTAATATGCATTCACTTTTTCAACTTTAGACGCGTTGAATAACTCGCCATTTCCATCCATCGCACTATTATGTTCATCATTCATTTGCTAGCGCTTCGCTTAATATGCCTTGACTTTTTCAACCTTAGACGCGTTGAATAACTCGCCATTTCTATCCATCGCACTATTATGTTCATCATTCGCTTTTTGTGGCAAAAGCTAGTTGAATGCTGGCTAACAAGCACGCGCCCATCTCATCTCCATTAAAGATACTGAATGATATTCCCTCTTTAATACATATACATTGTATATTGTAATCATACGATTTTTGCATCATCCTTAAATTTAAGCTTATTATTCCAACTACATTTTGAGAATTACATTTTCTAAGTAGCTGCATGTCGAACATCCAATCTTGTTTAAATTTAGTTGATTCTTAAACCACCTTAAACTTTTTGCACGTTTCATTTTAAACGTACACGTGATGTCTCGAATAATTAAAATGACAATTCCACTACAATCGCCAACGCGCTAAACAAAGTCAGTATTTCAAGTATTTCAAGCCAAGTTAACTCATATAAACCTAAATAATAGAATGAACTAAATTCCATGAGATGTCATCATTTCGATACCCTACAACTTACGTCGTAATTAAGTGTGACTTTTTGAATTTTAGAACTCGCCTCTGGATATTTCTTAATTTAATACTATATGCTCTGAATATTTCATACTAGTAGGCCTATAGTTCGTGCTTTTCACAAATGACGATAAAAAAAAACTTTAAAATGTGAACTAAGTGCGAGGAAGAATCTCACCCATCACTGCATGAAGTCTAAAATTGGATTTAAAATCGTCGCTGTTTTGAATCTAAATTTGGCATGCATTAAATCTATTAAATTGAATGTATCAGAATATCTCCTAATTACCATTAATTATCTTAATAAATCACTTGTGCATTGCCTTCCAAGTTATACTCATGTGCGAAATGTGCAGGCAGGGTGCAAAGCAATTCAGGTTGAGAGTGCCAAACTCAGCTAGAGGAAACCAATTACTTGTCTGTTCCGGAACAATATACATTAATTCTTTCATCGCTGTGGTGCGATTCATTGCCCTGCCTGTAAAATGCTTGCTGTTTAACGTGTACAATTTTGAAATACCCCTCGTAGTTAAAAAACATATTATAAGTGTGTAGAGAATTGTTATTGTCATGTTCTTATTTCGCTCCAGAGTTTTGGTCTGCTGAGTTTCTGTCAATGTTGATTTTTACTATTTTTTATAGGTCGACGAGATGCCACGTGTCTTCCTCTCAACCCCCTCCCCCCGACCTCCTCAAAATGACCTGTGATGTAGACAACAGAAAGAAGATTCATGAGGGGGGCGTCTGACCCCATCTGCCCCCCGTAGTGTCACCTCCCCCTTCTCCCGCTCTCCCATTAGTCCATCAACGCACATCACTCATCCATCACCTTCCCATTAGCACCACCAGCACAGTCACATCGCGCTCATCATCATTCAGTTTACATTCATCTCCCGCTGTCAGTAACGTATTCCAGGGGCCATTCACTCAGTTTTCATACTGCCACTCCGGTGCTCTCTATTCCCAAACCAAAGCCCTCTCTGTTCAGTCGTCCCTAAGTGTCCCCAGGGTGTCCCCTTCTGGCTCCCAGTCTCCCCGCCCCGTGGGGCTGGTGCACCAAATTTCTGCTCCAGCTCCTCAAGCGCATTATGGAACAGACTTCTTCACGGACGCCGCGAACTGCAGCAGAGAGACGGCCCTAAGGCAACTAAGTGTTGCTTCTACAGCGGCCGGGCGTCTTTTTGACCAGTTCCCTAAGTTTCGTCGGGATGAAGATGTCTTACTTCAACGCAAGCAACCTCCTCTAGCTCCTTTTCTGCAACACCAGCTACAGACTCCATTAACCCCTCCACTCTGTCACAAGCCACCACTCCCTCAGAAGCTTCCCTTAACGCCTCCTCTGACCCAGAAGTCGCTGAGCCACCGCGCCGTGCATCCTCAACTGCTCCTACAGCAGCAGCAAAGCGTGCGCGCTTTCCAGCGCGGTTACACAACTCGGGCATCCGCCGTCCGGTTTATGGTCGGACCGACGTCCACTTTATAGGGACGTGTGCGAATTTAGAAGCGTTCTAGCTATCGCAACTTTGTGCTATGATGTCACATGACGACGCCTTGCATTATTTGTACCCATCATAACTTTTTAACGATAAAAGGCTTTAGTAGAATTTAGACATATTTCCGCTAGTTATTCAGGAAATTTCAACGAATTGTTTCGATGTTGTCATCCTCTGAAACTGAGATGGAAAGCAAACAGTGCTATCAATTACTTTCGTCAAATTCTTTTGTTCTAATTTAAAATGTTTTCAAATAATTTTCTACTGAAAACACATTATTGACGGCCAGTAATGATGAACTGTGCGATTGAATAATTGACTATTTGATTCAAGCGCGTGCATCAAGTTCTTATCTTGTGATTTTTCGGTTGAAGATATCACAAATGAAAAAGACATATGTCGTCGATTTTTTATGCTATTTGGCTTTAAATGGATCCCATTTACGATAGTGTCATGAGCGCATGGCATCCACTTGGTTTGCTCCAATGTTCTGCCATTGCAACGCGTCCGCCACGAATGAGTTTTTTCGTATCAAGTTAAGTGAACTCGTTTCGCGAGCAGCAGCTCAAACGTAAAAAAAAAATACTTTAAGTATCTACATTATTCCTGCTGCAGAGTTTTACCGCTACTAATCTATTAATAAACCAGAGACAAATAATCGTATCGCAACGTTAGAGTTCGTTCGCGCCAGTTACCATTGTAGCCAAATAACAATTTACTGTGTGAAATTAATTTAGCCATAATTTATGAAGCTAATTTTTAAGATACTAAAAATTAACATGTATAATTTTCAACAGAGATTAAGTTGTAGGCTGTATAATTGCTTCAAATCTATTATAGTTGCGGTTTTGAAGTTCTATGTCAACCAAATAGTGCACAAGTTCGGAACTCCTGCTAAAATACTCAACTATTTTTCTACGTCTGCTGCTAGCTACTAGGTCGAAAATATGCTAACAAATTAATGTCATTTCAGTTACTCGCATAAACTGCACATTTCGATTATCAATGAGGAAAAATGAATTATTCTATTCGCTCGTCTAACTTTATTACGCAAATTGGAAGCATAAACATTAGTTGCTTTGATTCAGCGAGTCCAATTCTTGAAATTATTTTTCACGTCTGGGCGAGTTAAACTGAAATTTTTCAAAGGATTCAGTGGCTGGTGGTGAGCTTAGGTATGTCTAATGTGCAAGAGTGTAGATCAATATCTACAAGGATTAATTATCTGACAATGGGGCCCATCATGTACAAAAAACGCATAGAATCAACTGGAATTGAGTGTTCGAAGCTTTTTTTTTCACGGAAAAAGGAAATGCTCGGTATCGTCTAAATGCAGTTGTAGCTGGTACGCGTGCATTGAAAAATTTCTTTATGATAGTGTATCGTTTCTTCCGTGCCGAGTCTTTCACCACATGAGCTTCTTCTTAGGCGGGCATTAATTGACAATTTTAAGCGAACTATGCCGTTCCTTATGAGAGGTTATTGAGATTGTACTACGGTTAGTTAACGGTGTGAGCAGAGATGTTGATACAGCGTATACTTAATCTTAGCAGGATGAGTATTTAGTCTGTGCCCGTCTATCATTTTTTGTAAATTGTATATGATTTATCGATGGATCAAGTCTGTGGAGCAGTGAAATTATTGTAAACAACGAAATCCCTGCGTACAAAAGATGTAACTTCATTACATTTGGTCTCCTAATGGTATTATTCATTAAATATGCCATATTTCTCGTCTTATAGAAAACAATGGAATGATTAAGTTTCTGAAGCCCTAGTCTGCTGGTGGATTTCTAGTCTGTGATGCGACAACGTCGGTCACTGCAAAACAATGTCTTGCCATCTTGCCATCAGTCGCTCATGTGCGACTGATGGCATACCTAACCTAGACCTATACTTTCAAAAAAAGTTAAGAGATCGTAAGTTCATCAGCCAATCATTGACTGCCTGTCAAGCAAAATCCACCAATCATAGACAAGAAAATCGAGCGTAAGTACTTACGTTCACTTAGCGAGTTTTGAAAGTATGGCCCCTAATCTTCACTTTAAAGCTTTTAATTACGGGCAAGTCGAGGAAGCAGAGATAACAATCAATGACCCTGCATACAACTCATCTCAAGTTAAACTTGCTTCCCTTGAAATAGCATCGTAGTAAGTGATGATTGTTTGCAACTTGTTCCAAATAATAAATGCATGATCTCAACATAATTTTATCGACGATCTTTACGTCACAGCAACGCACTCTTGTCGCGGCCTTTGTAAACTTGCTTGCTTCTTAGTCAAGGCGGGAGAATTTGTCATAGAAAATATCTGATTTTTATTGAGCACGAGTATGAACACAGAATAAATTATACAAAGGATGGTTTTTCAAGCTGGCGATTGTTCAGTAATTTTGGTGTGGATATAATAGTGTCGAGGGTTTTTCTAGTATTTCGTCTTCTACGGTGACATGAGCTCCACTGAAGATAAGAATATGGGGCCCTCGCTTCTACAACTAATCATAAAATTTCGTTAAACTTATTTCTGTGTTTGCCATAATATAATTGCCAATTGCGACGTACTTATTTTTGAGAATTATTTTTAAAGCGAGTGATATCGATTTTATTGGCTTGTATCATATCTATGTGGAGTAAGTTCTGTACCAAAACATTTCGATATAGCGATCACATTCGCTGGTAAACGCAAACTCATTGGTTTTCATAATTAATACTTCGCATGACTGTCACCTGCAAGATCCATTTACGTTTAACGTCGCGGATGTGAATGGCAGTTCAATGTACGAGTGATGTACAGGTCTGCGCTCGGAGGCATTTGTTAGGGATACATCAGCGCAGCGCACGATTCGTTTCTGTCAGCCATTTTTCGAGACGATGTACTAAAGGAAAGTATAAATGTATCTGTAATTAACATTTACCTTGAAATAAAAATTCTTTGTACGATTTCGTTTCTTTGATGCAAACATTCATACCAGTATTAACGTTTGGGGTGCAATTTTAGGTATAAACCGGTATTTGCGTTTGGGACGAGTAACCGAAAATGGACTCGCCTGCACAATTTTTCTTTGTGCTCATAAACAGTTGATGAAGCGGACGCAAACTTGAAATGTTGGCCAAGTTAACATCGACGGAAGTGATCAGAACTAGAAACAATTACCAGTCTACTAAAGTACTCGAGTGAAAACCAACAAGAGAAAAACTAATATTGGTTTGCTCTGCTAAAATATTAAATTGTAACGTTAGTATAGTGGAAATGCGTTTATGTTCTAGCGAGTAGCGGTCGAAAAAGAAATATTTTAAAAATCGATGCAAAAGGATATACTGCTCCGAAATACGTTCTAAACAGATCATCGAACATCTCCAAGCATAAAAATGAATGATTAATTACGCAATTTGGTGGTCATGCGGGTTGATTAAGATTATAAGAGCGGTGACGATGTCCTGCTTAGAGGAAAATGCTGCGGCATCGCATCGACGGAAGGAAATTCCATGATTAGACTATTTATTAATTTTGACATCGGCTAATGTAACGGATAAAAATAATCAGTAGACTATTCGACAATAAATGCTAATGGATAGTTTTCCCAATAGTTCAAAATAGCTAATTGAAATCTAAAATCGAGAAAAACCACGTTATCTAACGTTTCAAATCATGATGTATCGTAAACAAAATTAGTAAGCAATAAAACGATCAATTAGTCTCCTAGCAATAAAAGCAATAACATCAAAGATCTAATCTCACGATGGGTAGATGACGTAGCATTCAAGTTGTTTCTACTCGTGAAACGTTCGACTAGTGCTGGACCTCCTATAATATAATGAATTTCTAGAGCGAATGTTACAAGGAATAGCTTACACATCTCGTGGCTGTTAGCAAACATTGCTCAACGGAGACGGCTGCAGTTGACGTCTTTATCAAACAAAGAGAAGGAAACCCTAGGCACTCTGAACTCATTGCTGTAGTGAGCGCTCTCTGGGCAACGGTTACATTCATCCTCCGTTATTTTCGCCATCTCATTCACTCACGAATTTTGTTGACCCTATACGCACGATTTGACATCAAGAAACTCAATAAATCCATAGGATTTGCTTCGAACTCTATCAGTAAAGATGTTTTCTATACGGTTGAGTTCGAATTTTACCTCAACTCTGATTCAGCATCTAAACTGAGAAACCACGGTGATTGGTATTCGTTTTATCGGTCAAGTTTGTACTTGAACTTTATTTATTTTCAGAAATGGTTGAAACTTGTTTTGTCAGTGGATATTTTAAACCCGGATGAGTTCAATGAAATCAAGAAAATTTTAACATCATAGAATATATTGGTGAAATATTTTGTCAGACACATCTTGGTAAAAAAAAACAGGAAAACTTTCATTACGAATGAGTAACAATTACATGATTAAAACATTTTTCGGAAGTGCTATATGCGTGTAATTAATATATCGTTACCAACAAAGTGAAATGACTTCGAAGGAAAAAACATTCCTTCGATCATGAAAAAATTTCGCTCCAAATTTCGGAGCTTAGAGTAGTCTATAATAATTTAAACAAATGCTGAAATAATTAAACATTAATTTAATGTACTCATTTTTTGTTTGCAAAATTCGTCTGTCAATATAATTCTGCGTAAAAGATGCATTGTTAGAATATTCTTGTTTTTTTCATTTATGAAAAGTGAACAAACGTTATTCTTTCTTCATAATATTACGATTCCGAGCACCATTCAGAGTCCATTTCAGATACGTACAAGTTTATTTTTGAACATGATACATCCCTACATAATCTGTTTCAACAATCAGCGCCTCTAGACATTTTGAACTTTCAGTCTCGTTCTTGACTAAACTCAACTCGTAAATCAATTATTCGGTATCATGCATCAGAAATGTTTAATGACGATAGGCGCAGTTTTGCTTTGCATGCTCCTGCCTAGCAGAGGGACTCACCGGCGCTGTGAAGTAGCGTCATTCCGCACACTCTTGAGCCGGAGCGACCCTTGCGTCGTAAAGCTCGCTCGACGAACTCCGCTTCCGGATTGGATTAACAACTTGGATTTTCTGGACTCGCTAACAAGCGCCTCTGATGAGCAGCTTGATGATCTGGCGAAAGTGGTAAGCTTGTCTTTTATTTTTCAATATTTTTTCTCATATACAAGAATTCTCCAAATTTTGTACCTTAATCAACTAATCAGATCTCATTAATTGCAGTCTCAGGTTGAATTAAAAATTTAGATTTATATTTTTAATTTAGGAAAGGATACATGTGATAATAATAGGTCGTGAGATCAAATTGATTTTGCTATCTCAAACATTAATCAGACATAGCGAACAATTTAATATAAAAAAATATTTATGCTCGAGCTTTAGTATTTCAAAACGCACCAAATGCGCAAATGATATAAACATATCTTTCACCTTCAGCTATAACCATCATCACCATTAAAACGTACATCACCTGTTCGCATAATTTTAATGCTAAAGTTAAAAAAACAATTAAACTAATTTTTCAATTACAAAATCTTCCAATTTACTTGCTCTTCACGCTCGCACGAGGAAGCTAAGCTCGATAATAATAATAATAATAATAATAATCAGAGAGTTGTGGTGACAGGTGTGCGCGTGTCGGCTGTTCCGCGTGCATCGCAGTTGCCCCAACTCCGTGTACGAGCTCGTGACCGACGTGGCGTGGCGGTGCATACCAGGGGCTCGTGAAAGCGTCATGGCCAGGATCACGAACGCCGTCGAGCAACATAGAAATGGAACGAAATATGCCGTGGATGAAGAAATACCACTGGGAAGAGAAGTGGATAGTCATGAAGTTGAGATAGTACATGGTGAGAGGACCAAGGACATATTTCCTGATAGACAACGAATTAGCCCAGAAGAAGACGACGGAGAGCCAGGAGAAGTTACTAAAGGTGAGTTGGACGATGCACCGACCACTAAGATGTATGGAAGAACATTGGAAGAGCAGCTCACTGATTACTCCACTTCTATTGACGGCAGCGGGACGACGGAACAAAGCGACGCGTATTTCGCAACTACCACGACTGTCTACGAGACAGACGGTACTGAGGACTCGGTCACGCAAAATTACGCTGCATTTGGGACAAACAATCCAATGAAATTAGGGTTCACCCCAGCCGATATGGTCGATGAAAACAATCAAGATTACTCAGAGACTGAAGAAACTGGAACTAGTCGCACGGCAACAAACGTTTACGTAACAACCGGCAGTCTTCCTGTAACGAACGATGGATGATATAAATGAAGAAGATGAGCCTGAACCTGAGCCCGAACATGAAGAATAGTAATTTTATGCGTGAATCATGATTAGAAACTAAAATACGGTATTTCCCATTCATAAGTATACTTGAGAAATAAAAAAATGTGGCGGGTAAAAAAAAAATTATCCACCTATATGAGCATCAAATTGATTTTTGTTACTGCCGTCTTGTGCATGCAGTTCTGTTTTTATATCTTAGCAATATTGTTTAGCATTATGTAACAGAAAATATTTCAGTAATTCAATGTAAGGACGCACTTTACGAGTATTTCCTGCCCGTTTATCAATGTCAAATAAAAATTATTCATTGCATACTTCGCAGTCGTTTTCATTTACAATTAATGTTGTTTAGACAAGTGCAGAGTGCGCTTTTTTCGTTCGTGTTCAACTGTGTCCGCCGTAAGCCTGTCAAGTGATAGCCAACTTGTCAACAGTCTAGGCGATTACGTTGAATTAGTGAAGCGTCGATTAATGAGAGGTTTTATTCATTTTCTTAAGGAAAGTGATGAAAACAAAATGTTCTCTTCAAATTATCAGACAGTCAAATAAGCACACTTTCGAGTCGGAAATTTAGAGTAAGAAATAAAGTTACTAGGAATGCAATCGACATTGAATTTATAGTTACCGGGATATCTTGATCATAAACTTCGATATATAATTAAGATCAGAAACTTGACGATTCACTTTACTTATGAAAAATACAATGTTCGACATGGAAATCATATGAATTTAAATTTTTCAGAATTAGATTATTGATTAAATATATATTGTATCAAAATTAAGGCACCATGTATAGTTCATTGAAGGCAAAGTGAACATTGCTCATTAGTTCCTCATAAGCGACTTTATAATTTTTTGCGAGTTTCTTGCGCGCAGGTCACAACATCGGGCTCTGAAATCATCGTAAAATGTAGACATTGAACCATTTTGAAATCAATCCATCGCTTCGTCAATGATTAGGAAAGTAATTGAGACCCTCAATTAGTCTCGCTCGATGTGAATGTAACCAATTTTTGAGTTAATGGAGAAATTATTGAATTTTGAGAGGGATACGATGAAGAGCGAGTGGTGCCGCTGGTAAAATATTTGATCGAAGTAAAGGAAGGGAATGCTGCCACGCGCTGTTTTGAAAATTTGTGCTGTATACCTTAACCTAAACTCGCTGGTAAACGTCAAAAATATTCAAACGAACTGTGAGATCTCATACAAAAAAAGTTTAAACCAACAATACTTAGAAAAATGCCAATGTTTTATGATCATTCATCTAAAGTTCTGTCTGGATTTAGGTGAAAATAAATTCCATTTGTATTGATGCCATCGTCGGCGAACATTCGCCAATTCTCGGTGATAACAACGATGTGGCGAATAAACTTCTACCCTGTACAGTGTACACGTACAGCAAAGCGATTCATGCAACAGATACAGAAATTGCAACACATATACATAGAAAAATGTTACAATACTGTAAGTAAAAAACCACACTCTCTAGACCTGTCATAAATTATTTGCGATGTACGAATAAATAGGGCAATTTTTCACGGAAGAAAATCAAGTTACGCTCGAGAGGATTAAGCGCCGCAAAGAGGATTGCCATGCGATCGCTAATCAAGGGTGAAGTAATTAAGATTTAAAAGAAACGTGCAACTTGCCAGGAAGTTAAGGTTCGAGTGAACGCTATCCTGCCTTGCAAGATGTCTGCAAGCAACACAAAACGACTATTTATTTCGTTGTAGACGCGCAAAAGCTAAAATAGAACCAGGGTACTTCATACTTGCTATAAATAAATAACTTAAGGGAATTGTTTACTATGAATAAATTGGTTTGCCGTGAAAGAGGGCCTATACTAAAACCAGTAAACTAGATAATTCATTATATTATAGAATGTGTGTTTGAATACACATTAATCCATGTTAATGAACCTTAAGTTCAACGAACCATTTTTAAAGGATTAGCTACCCATTTACCTTAAGATTTGTTTTACGAAAACCTAGTTGTTTGGGGCAACAGTAAACGAAAAAGGAAGAGTGAATACAAGATTTAAATTAGAGATCTATTTAAGTATCAATGAAAATTTCAAAATTAACTTTTCGAAATTGTAACAGAATTGCCAATAGTGGCCCGTGCAGCTTGGCGCGAGTGAACAGTGGTCAGATGTACAATCGTCTTGGCAGAGAGCTGCATAAAGTAAATGTTTGTGCAGTGCCAACCTTAACGCTTATTGCTGGCAATGAGAATAAATTTAGTCCCTTGAAGAAGATAATTGGAGAACTAATTCAAATCCTGATAATTTATACCTTTATAATTTATACCCTGATACACAGGCATTACCATAAAATGATCAAGGATTTGGTCGTTTTGAGGATTTGGTTGGCGCGGTTACGAAATGGATAAGCAAATAGAGCCAGCTAAAATGACGGAACACAGAAGCTAAAATGACGGAACATAGCAGCTAAAATGACGGAACATAGCAGCTAAAATGACGGAACATAGCAGCTATAATGACAGGAACGGAGCAGCTATAATGACAGGAACGGAGCAGCTATAATGACAGGAACGAAGCAGCTATAATGACAGGAACGAAGCAGCTATAATGACAGGAACGGAGCAGCTATAATGACAGGAACGGAGCAGCTATAATGACAGGAACGGAGCAGCTATAATGACAGGAACGGAGCAGCTATAATGACAGGAACGGAGCAGCTATAATGACAGGAACGGCAGCTATAATGACAGGAACGAAGCAGCTATAAAGACAGGAACGGAGTAGCTAGTATGGTAGGAATCAAACACCAGCAGAGACGGAACATAGGAATTCTAGCAAATGCGTTGTCGGACAACTCAATATATGATAAAATGATACTGTGAAGATCAGTACTAATTTATCATTGAACATTGAGCAGGTTGTGCTGTATACCTTCTGTGTCTGTACCTATAACCTTTGACCGAATGATTGACGTTTGCATTAATATAAATATGATCATGAGTACCAAGAGTACAGATCTAAGGGTACGTTTTCACGAAAAATAGTTGTTTTGGCACGTACATAATGAATATGATGAATATGAATCGGTGGCGTCGTACAGCCTGACAGTCTTACGAGCCTGAATGCCTCAAGTGCTCTTAAATCCAACAAAAAACCTCGTGAACACAGCGAAGTCAGAATGATTCGCCTCTGCAATACGAGAACTCTTTGCCAAAAATTTCTCTGCTTTATCTTTCGGGAAATAAATGCGACTTCTATTGCGATAAATTTCTCATATTTTATGCTCTACTTCCTATGAAATAAACTAAAGATTTTTTCGCAAGAGGGAAATTTGAGAGTCCATTTGTATATGAAACACAGTCTTATCAGAGGTCTTCTAATAGACCGATAAGAAGAGCAGAAAACACTAAAAAAATATATCAAGCAGGTTAATAGGTAAGCTATTTATTCGCATTCATTTACAGCTCATCACTGGTTACTAATATAAAATAAACCGTTTTTCATTTCCTAATTTTCTATTCAAAAACAGAAATAAAGAATTTGTATGTAAGATCAAACATGATTCTAACTCCTGAGACTTATCAAAACAATTATGACGTTGTTATAAAGATTTATCTCCTACTAAATTCAATGCAAGACCCGGACATAAGCTGGATAACATATATTAAAGTCGATAGTGAATGCTTCACTAATTACATTCATCACTAATAAAAGATGAACTATCGATGTAAATGAAGCAATAAGAGGAGGTTGTTGCCCAAAATTCACGCACACAAAAGTTGCATTCACATTGAATACGTTGAGCGGGATCGGACAAATAGTCAGCGCTGCGGACCAAAGGCGGCGGTCAATACACAGGGCAAAGTGGATGCAAAAAAAGAAGAATGCAGCTCGTCGGAGACTCACTTAATGCCTTGCTGTCTGCTGTACATCTTAGCTTGGAGGCTTTGTGCCTCATTAGCCACTTCTCGCACTAGCGAATAATTAGCAATAAGTTATTCCCGCTCGCCGTAATTTATCACAGCAAACTATGAATTTATATTCGTACAATTAATCATGCTACAATTAATTACACTTATAATGATGCCACTAAATGGATGTGAAAATGATATGCGTGGTCATGCAAGTTTTAGAGCCATATCTATTAATTTATCAAGGAAAAGGCAAAAATTTGCACAAAAAGGTGAGAATAATTGGTGAAATTAAAGATATATAATTTTCTTTTAAAACGAATAAAAAAGTGATAAAGAAAAGAGTCCACCTGCGTGACGTTCCCTCACATTATTACTCTGATAACAGCGTACGGTCGATGTACTTCACCGAAATAATTCTAGAAAAGAAAGCAATGCTCTTCACTTCCTAGAGCATCGGACGTGAGAACAAAAAACGCGTGGCAGCGTCGGTCTTGAGTCGGTCGGCAGAAGCTCGGCAACGCGGCTTGCTCAGCAGCAGATAGAGAGTAGAACGTGTAGCGTGTTTTATGAACAGGCTTTGGCGATCTGAGCTTAAGACTACGACCTCTCTAATTTACAGCTGACCTTGACTTTTTTGCAGTGTCGCCTTGCTTCGTCGACCACAGCTTTTCGGTGGCGCACTGGCTGTGCTCGGCTCTACGAGATAGACTAAAATTGCGCTCGCATCAGCCGCTACCTTTACTTTTCTAGGCTTTTTTAATAGCTCAACAGAAATCGCCTCCATCCGAGATCATGATAGAAAGGTGCTGAATTTTAAAAACATGAACGAAGTATATTACTTCAAATTAAACTTGGAAAAACAGGAAGTCGATTCGGTTTCGTTAGCTTCAAATCAAATAAATTCAAACCATTCTAAATATTCTCTGAGGTAGATCAGCAGAGCGTATTGAATAATCGGGAAGGATTGCTCATTTCTCCATTGAGGAAGTTAAGGTCGGTTAAATTACTTAGTAGGACATACATCGTTTTGTAACATCGTTGAAAATTGATTCCCTGATATGATGAGCAGCAAAAATGAGACCGATTCTGGTGCGTTACCTTATAATTAGAAAATTTAATTCCTGAGATCTAAAAGATCTAAAAACACTTGTGGTCCTCGGGATCGTAACAAACGTTTCTAGATTCTATTGCGACTTCACACGAGACGGATGTGGTCTCGACTCGTAAATAAACAGGTCGCTGATGCCGGGTTGCGTGACATACAGAAGTGACCGCAAAGATGGGCAATAATTACCACGTGAAGATACATCACAACAACAGAGAGAGGGAATCAGGAAAGAAGGAGAGTGAGGGGGAGGCGCGGGGCTGGAGTTGAGGTGCTGATGAAACTTTGATGCTCTCAGGGAACGTCAGAAGGTTA